AGGCTTTTAAACCCCGTCGCGACTTGGGCCCCGGCGTGTGTGCGGGGCGAAGGGAAGACGGCCGAGCCAGCTTTTTGTCGCTCCAGTTCCCTCTCTTCGTCGCCAGTTTTTGCTCCTCGAGACTGACCTGTCCGGGACCTGCAACCGTGCAAGGATAGGGTTGCAAGAGACGGGCGCGAGAGCGAGAGAGAGGGACGGTGATAGACGCGTTCGAATAATGAGATGAATTTAGAGTTTATTAATGATTGTACTTCACAGAGGAGGCAGACGTCGAACTGTGTCAAGATGAAGAATCCCAACAGACAGGTCCTGGGCTTGTGTTTTGCTCTGTGCGGACGTCCTCTGACAAGATGATTGACAGCCATATTTTGAGCATAATTTTCTCTCTCTGTTTACTCTAGACTTATTCTCTCTGTAATTCTATCTTGAATTTTTGAGATACAAGCCACTGAACTGAAAGGATGGTGATGATGACAGCCATATTTTGTATCAGTGTCACTGCTTGTTAATGGAGAGCTGCAGAGTTGTAGCCTAATTTCCAATGAAATGATAGAGACTTTAATAATCAGAGTAACAGCCAGTAGAATGGAGAATCTAACAATCAGTGGAACATCTTCGACTTTAAGTCACTGGGACTTATTGACTTCGCAGTCAGTCAGTGAAATGTACAGTAAGCCTTAAAACAGCAACAATTCCAAGCCCAAAAGAGCGACAGCAAATTCTTCATGGCCAACGTTTGCGTAAATAGCAACTTTCGACGCACAACGAACTCACAGCCACCCACTCACGCCACATATACGCACGTTTCTCTACGCCATGCCTGGCATTTCCTACGTTGTTTCGCGCCGACCAAAACAAAACAAAGAAGAAAAATAACAAAACAAAGAAAAAAAAATACAGCCTGCCACAAGAGTCTTGTCCACTGGAATGCGAAAGGTGAGAAAATATGTAATAAAAACGAGAAAATTGATAAAAACAAGGAAAGGTTACGGAACGCGTCCCTTGTCACCCGGAAGGAGAGGCGGAAACGGCGCGGCAGGGAAAGGCGGAGAAGAATGTGACGGATGGCGTGGTGAGGGTGGTGATGGGGATGAAGGATGGTGGATAGTGTTGGGATGGTGCAGCTGAGATGAATGGTGGTGAAGGGCGATGGGTTGGTGATGGGTGGTGGGGTCGATGTGGTGAGGATGGTGGTGATGTTGATGAGGATGGTGGTGATGGTGAGGATGGTTGGGTGATGGTGATGAGGATGGTGGGATGGTGATGAGTGATGGTGGTGATGAGATGGTGATGAGGATGCGTGGCTGATGGTGATGTGGATGGGGATAGCATGGTGATGAGGATGGTGGATGGGTGGTGATGCGTGATGAGGATGCCGTGGTGATCGCTGATGAGGATGGTGGTGATGGTGTGATGGTGCTTTGATGATGAGTGATGGATGAGGATGGTGAATGAGGATGAAGGATGGTGATGAGGATTGGTTGGTGTGGTGATGAGGATGGTGGTGTGGTGATGAGGATGGTGGTGATGGTGATGAAGATGGTGGTGATGAGGATGGTGGTGATGATGGTGGTGATGAGGATGGTGGTGATGAGGATGGTGGTGATGCGCTGATGGTGCGGTGATGGTGATGAGCGATGGTGTTGATGCGTATGAGGATGGGGTGCATGGTGATGAGGATTGGTGGTGCTGAGATGCGTGATTTTTGATGAGGATGGTGGTGATTGGTGATGGTGGATGATGGTGGTTGGTGATGAGTGGTGATGGTGATGAGGATGGTGTGTGATGGTGATTTTGATGTGAGGATGGTGGATCGTGGTGATGTGGTGATGAAGAGGATGGTGGCTGATGTTGATGGCATGGTGGTGTATGGTCGATGATGAAGGTGATGGTCCGATGAGGATGGTGGTGTGGCTGTGATGGTGGAGGATGGTGGTGATGGTGATGAGATGGTGGTGTGGTGATGAGGATGGTTTGGTGATGATGGTGATGTTGATGAGGATGGTGGTGATGTTGAGGATGATGTGGTGGATGAGGATGCCGTGATGTGATGAGGCAGTGAGTGATGAGGATGGTGATGTGGAGATGGTGGTGATGGTGGTGTGATGAGGATGGTGTTGGGTTGATGGTGGTGATGAGATGGTGATGGTGGTGACGGGTGATGAGTGGTGACGGTATGAGGATGGTGATGATGTTGGTGAATGGTTGGTGATGTTGATGCAGGTGGTGGATGTTAATTTGATGAGGATGACGTGATATTATCTTTGATGTGATGTTGATGAGGATGGTGGTGATGATGGGATGGCGGATGGTGGGTGATAGATGATGAGGATGGTGGTGATGTGATGAGGATGACGATGAGGATGGTGGTGACGGTGATGAGGATGGTTGTGATGGTGATGGTGATGAGGATGGTGGTGATGAGATGGTGGTGATGTGATTGGAGGATGTGTGATGGTGATGATGGTGGTGATGCGTGGTGATCGGATGAGGATGGTGG